GTTTGCTTCCATATCATTAAAATGTGGATAAATACAACTACACATCACCATTATAAGGTTGATTTTCCTGTCTAATATTTCATATCCTTAAATACTGGATATAAAGAATAATAGCTAAATTGTCTTTGAACTGGAAAAGACATGAACTCTATCAAGGCAGATTGTAGCTGTTGACCTTTTTGATTAGTAATCATAAGTTGTATGGTTTTTAACTTTGATATTACATGGGAATAGCAAATCAAATTAATTAAAGAGAAAGATAAAAAAAGTAAAAAGGTTTTCAGAATATTTTTAGACAAACAACAAATGAGGTTTATAAATATCAAAACTCTTCCACAAATAAGAACCATAATCAGATATACACAGTGAACTTCATTCTTAAATAATGTTAATGGTAAGATTAACCATTTCCATTTCAGAAACGTTTGACATTTGTTGACCATACAGTTAGTGTTAAATTTCCGTTCAAATTTATAAAATCTTCCTTTTAAAGTGGTTTTTTAGGAAATTAGATGTTTTAGGTTCAGTTATTACTCTTTCTAGTATTGATAGGAATTTGCTTTCTAACCTTTTGTTTAAGATAATGTGGAAATTCAACATCTTGATTATATTATTTTCACTTCTAATTGCATGTACTACCCATTTTAGTTGTTGCAGAGTATTCAAGTGATACACTAATAAATAAATGTTAATATACTTAACTTTAAGCTTCCTTGTATACTGTATTATATTACATGTTATTCTCACTACGTTTATATTTGCTGAAAGCCAATGAACTAATTCCAAGTTTGATAATTCTTTATATAAAAACGAGTTACAAACATTTTTGCCTCATTTCCTTTTTATAAGAAGTTAATTGTTAACATATTCAATGCCACATTGGATACACAGCACAACAGACTGACATCTTCTCAGTACAAAGTCTCACATGTGACCATAGCAATTGTTTTGCCTTAAGAGGCTATATTATGGTAATAAACATGATCAACTCTATTGGCATTGAGCGTATTTTATTGAAAAGTAAAACATGATGGGATAACAATATGTTGCAAAGAGCAACAGAAAATCAATTTGCCTTCCATATCACTTTGAATGCAAAATACTTGTGCAAAACATCAGATATTTCATATAGTTTTAAGTAAAATGAACTGCATTACTCTCACACACCTAATAATTTGGGATGGGTGCACAAACTTTTTTTTGTTTTTGTTTTTTAACCAGCTATATACATTTATTACAACCCCTTAAGTTCTTTTTATACTTCAAGCTGATGACTCTTGATGTGCATTAAAGTAGAAGACACTATTGATACTAACTTATTTTGAGCCTCCCCATCTAAATACATTTGCAAGAAATTTTCACCTCAAACTTATCAGGTAATGGAAAGTAAATTTTAAATGTACTTTCTGCTTTAATATGTCATGTATTTTATAATTAATTGACACACACGTAAAATTCTATTTCACATAGTTTTATGATATCACTAAACAAATTACTGCATGTTATTAGAAAGAACAAAAATTTATGAATAATGAATTACCTGTCAATAGTCAATATGAATTTAGTGCAATATTTGTCAAAGTTCAATTAGCCATATTCATCAAAGGCTTACGCTAATTATTTTTTTCAATGTTTAAAAAGTTTTGTAATAAATTTAGTTATCAAATAGTTGCCATTACCTTTCTGTAAACTTTTGAGTTATCCAAAAACATACAGATATCTACAAATTTGTCTAATTCTATTTCTTTTCTGTTTTTAGTATAAGATTGAGCTTGTTTGCCATTTGCCACATGAATACCCACATGTGAAGCCAGAGATTTTCATTCGTGCATCAGCAATGAGTAAAAATGACCTGAGACAACTCAAAGATGATCTTCATGACTACGTGATGACAATGGAGAGAGGAGATATTTGCATGGGGCTTGTATTACAGTGGATTGAGGAGACTGCCTTGAACTATATCCATGACACCAAAGAACAAGAAAATGAAAAAAGCAATAGGACTAAGAAACCAGATGAATTTGTCAGACTCTGGATCTACAGTCACCACATTTTTAACAAATTCAAAAGGAGAGACTTGGTTGATTGGGGCAATGAACTGCAAGTAACTGGCTTCAGTATGCCTGGTAAGCCAGGTGTGATCTGTGTTGAGGGATATAGCCAAAATGTTGAAGAGTATTGGTATCGTGTCCGGAGGATGAGCTGGAAGAAGATTGCCATAAAAGAGAAGGAAGAGTTCAATATAGGTGATAAGAGTTTGAAAGAGTTCCAGAAATTTTCATCCTTTGAAGAGAGGGTTTTTGATGCTAGGGCAGGAAAAGGGCGAGAGTATCACATGGACCTTGGTAAATTCAATGAGTTTTTGCAAGAAAGAGATCTAGGGTGGATTTTTGGTTTATATTTTGGTGTTGAGGGGAAGTTGACTAACCCAAACTGAATTGAGAAATGCTGATTTTTTTTTTTTTTTTTACTATGGCTTATATTGCAAACAGTTTTTTTATGAAAATCATTGATAGTACTTAAACATTCAGAATAAAATAAGATCTCATGAAATGACAATATTTAAAAATGAGTTAAGATAGTACAAGTATTTTAATGACCTCCATTTTTTTATGATTGGCAATGGCTATAATAGTCTACAGTTGGGAGAAAAAAAAGCTTATGTTATTTAAGAATTTCATTAATATTACATGATAAAGAAAGCTAAGTTTGGTTTATAATGAAATAACATGACAATTTTATCTTGGTTTGTCTGTTCTATTACATTGGCACCAGTTCATCTCTGCAGTTTAAACCATGTCACTTATATCAATATACAAGAGAAATTTTGCATTAAGCTTAGTAGTTATATGAACTAAGTGACTCCCAAACTCATCTTCCTTTCTTACTATTAAAATTCAACTATTTTCTCATGTATTTTACAAACTAAAAGGGAAAAAAATAATAGTCAGTATTTCTAAAGTGTATTTGCAATATAAAACATTGAAAAAAAAAAAAAAAAAAAAAAAAAACATTGAAAATCAACTGAACTAAGAGAAGCTGTTTTATAAGAGAATTATTTTAATTTATAAAAATAAATCTATTTTTTTTGAAAACTGTTCTGTTTTTTTTCTTTTTCTAAACAGTCAACAAGTGAGAATGCAGCAAACACATTTTATAATCAGAAATACAAATGGATTATATAAATGATATTTTATAAACTGTTAGTGTCTGTATAAAATAATTATGCACTTGGAAAGATTTTTAAATAGGTTCTATTGATAATGATAGTGTCCAATATCAAATAAATTTAACCAGATATGTTACACATTTTCAAAAGTAACCTTAAATTGAAAATAAAATGTCTACATGCTCATGTTTATGTACACATAGCGAAATTGAAGACTTTAGTGTTGATAACTTGAGAAGGTACCGAGAAATGGAAAAGTTAATCTAATTCCTCACGTACAAAGGGTTTGAAGGATTCAGGATTGTTGAGTAAACTAATAACTAAAAACATAAGTAGGCTTCAGAATTAGATGATATATAAATTTGATCAGCTGTCAGTGAAAAACCACAGGTATGATTTATGAGTGCAGGTAGAATTGTTACTATCATACAACATATGAACAGGACTATGATTTTTAATAAATTTTTGAGGACAATCTAGAAGTCACTCATCCACAAAGCGATGATGCCACTAAGATGCAGGGGGCCTGGTGGGATTGACAGAGAATTGGAAAAAAAAAAAAAATCCTAAACAGTAAACAAGGGATAAACCTCTACTTCTATTCAAAAGACTGGAGAGCAGTGAGAACCAGCTGATGGGTGAACCTATCTACACCTGGTTTGGAAAAAATAAAAAAATCATAAATAAAATTTTCCGAGTTTAGGTGGAGACATTATTAGTTAAAAAGAATTATCACAAGTAATATAATATATGAACTGTGTATTAAAATATTTCCATTTCAAATGAAAGACTAAAGATGAAGCAAATTTTAAACATTTGAAATTTCTAATAGTTTTTTTTTTCTATGCTTACCAGTGCCACATTGTCAAAACGTGCAGATATTCATTAAAAAAATCACAAACTACAGTACAAAATTAACAATAAACATTTTAATTTTTTTCCCTCCAAGTTGACTGTTTATGTCGTCTATTGTAGAATCTGGTCTGACCAAAAGAAGTAAAATCTATTTCTTTCTGCTTTACAGTAGCACAAAATAAACTATTTTGGAAGTTACAGTCAAAAATATGATGAGAGCATTAACTATGATCTTTTTACAAGATACTCCTCTTTACTTTTGTATCCTCATGGAACCTTGCACTTTAGCTATGTTTAAATAGATAAAAGATTCAAACATGCATTTCATAATGCTCACACGTTGTATAAAATGCATTGTTATTTAATGTTCAAATTGTTATTATTCTGATCTTTGAATTACAGATTAGCAAGTGTTTTGTTGAATAACTCCATATTGTATCAGTTTTTCTAGGAAAACCTTGATTTCAAGTTAATCCAAAATTCATCTTAATTCATAAGCAAAGATGTTAAATTTCATACTGAAATAAAAATGTCTAAACTGATCTTTTACAGTTTCATATTAACCTCTGAATTCAATAAATAAGAAATACATAATAACAAATGTTCAGTTTCAATTAATCCAAAGTTTTTTTATGAGACAAATATTACAAGGTAGTGCTGAAAAGTTCTCAGCCCTGTACACTTCTCAAAATTTAACCAAAAACATCGAGAATATTTTGTAAGCACTTTTGGTCAGGCCAAGAACTTTTCAGCACTACTTGTATTAGAAAAAAAAAAAATTATTTCAGCTTGTAAAGAGACAAGTGAAGATTTTAATACAGAGTAATATTTTATTAAGTTTTTAAATATGGTTCCTTATTAAAAATAAAATTTTATACTCTTACTTTAAAAACCATGGATCACAGCTTAGAATAAAACAATTATGTGACAATTTGTCTTGATTTCATTTGTAAAATATGCAGGAAAAGAAAAATGTCTATGTTGTGGTTTGTGGTAGATGTGGTAACCAGTGGGCCAGGTGGACGGAATTGTCATCAGTGGAAAAGGTTATTGATAAACCAAGACCCGAGTCTGTGATATCAACATCAATGACATGTTCTTGTCCAGAGTGCAACATTTGCAAGGGTTTAGACACATTGATGTTTTGCCATTCTGCATCATTCTCGAAGTGGTACACAGCTACTATTCCTAAGGAGAAGAAAAAAGAAAAACAAAAAAAGATAACTTTAAGTGACTTTTTTTTCTTTGTTTGTTAGATAAAAATGTCAGTGTTACAGAATCGACTTAAAGAATTCTATTCTGTTTAGGAAGCCTAAAAATATGCCATATTAAAAAAAAAAAATTGAGTAGATATTAAGTGAGCCATTTGAGAGTTTTAAAAAAGAAAGTGCTCTCTTGCATGAATCTGCATCACACTTGTAGGGAGAAACTACTGTCTGATCTGATGTTCTTTAGATCACTCAATCACCATAAAGAGCATTACAGCCCAGGAAGATTCAATTACATACACACACTAATATATATATATATATATATATATATATTTTAGATAGATAGATATGTATGTGTGTGTGCAACAAAATGCTTAAATGTTCTTGGCCTACCAAGAAAGAATTTAAGAAAAAAAAATTCTGATGTTTGGTCATTTCATTAGATTTTGGAAAGTTGGTTAGGCTGAGAACTTTTCAAAACCCCGTCATGTGTACATATAACAAATTTACAATTCATTATGGAACTGTATTAAGAAAGTAATAAGGGCAGATAACTAAGTAGATTAAAGCTGAAGCATAGAAATGATCTTTACTCACCTGATTTAAGCCCAATCGCCAAAATTGGACCCCAAGCTCCTAAACATTCAGGATTTCGAAATAATTCATTATATACAGAGAACTTATAAAACTTTTCACCATTCAAACTTACTGCCAACACATCTTTGTCTGAAATAATAAAAGCAAAATGACCACTAGTTTAATAACAGAATATAAAATAGCAACATTTTTAAAAATAATTTAAAAAAAAAAAAAAATTCAGAATCTTGAAACCCTGATCATAAAATTAAACAAATCAAATTTAAATCAGTTTGAGATTTTAAACGTATTTAATAAGTTTAACCCAGTGAAGATATTTGTTTGTGCGTCACTTCATGAACTATGTAATCATAATGAACAAATGGTAGATGTCATCATAATGCCGTGTTTAAATGTATTCAAAAGAATAAAATCCACATTTTCATCTGACCTTGATAACAGACAGAATAGCGAGATCACAAAGGTTTTAACAATATTTATTGATTAAGATGTGATGTCTTGTATGTAAACATGAAAGTTAACTTAAAAAAGAAAATCCCATCCTTGTCTATAGTTTTTAATCAAATTTATATTGGTAAAGAAGTGTGTGTGTGTGTGTGTGTGTGTGTGTGTGTATAAAACAACAAACAAATCCTGAAGCTCCATGTACAACACTAATACTTTTGTAACAGTTTGTTATCTCCTTTAGAGTGGAAAAAAAAAAAAAAAAAAATGGCATTTGAAATTCCAGTCTTTGTAGCCTCTTAAATTTGTAAGATTGTTATCTTATTTTGCTTACAGTAAGTGAGAGGTTAATAGTAGAGTTAAACTGAAAGAACAATCAGGTCATGAATCTACTATTAATATGATGGAAGAGTTGGAAGTCATCATCTATGTGTCATGTCACTTCAGGATGAGGGGACATCACAGCTCTTTACAACTTACATGCATGAATAGTGCAATTCCCAAAATAGGTGAAGTAGATAATTAACCTCATAAAATAAGTTAAATATAAATGCAAAGTATTAAACATGTTGGAGTTCTTTTTCTTTCAGATTGTGATTAACAAAGGCATTCTTTTATAAGATAGAGGTTGGAAGTGACTAAAAAAAAAAAAAAAAAAAAAAACAAACTTATTTACAGATATTTAATGCGCAAACAAGAAATACGTTTTATTTATTTACATCATCCTCCATCCAAACTATTATTAAATGCCTAAGGATCAAAATATTAACTACATTTTTCATTTAACAAATATTAATTATAATTTTGTAAGTTAATCTCATCATGATCTTTGTAATATAAATGTTCAAATTATACAGAAAACTAACAGACCATACTCAAAATCCAATTAGCATACACATGATAACTGACGATAGATTCTGATATTTTTTTTTTTTTTTAATATCTCCTGGTGCCAAGGGCAGACAACGAAGCATATCTTTGTGTCAAGGGCCATAACTAATGTCAAAAACTCCACTTCTTATTTTATCTTATTTGGCACTTAGTCATGTCAAGATCTGGAGCTTTGATTATACTGCTACAGTAATTGGAGTAGGCATCCATAGTGTCAGCAATTAAGACAAGGTCATCAGCATAAAGAAGTTCCCATAGTACACCAGTGCAGAACACCTGAGAGAGCACCTCCAACATGAGGATGAAGAGCAGTGGACTCAAGACTGAGCCTTGATGAACACCAACTCAACTCCAGGTATTGCAGTACATGCCCTGAACCACACAAATAGCCCAATCCTCATCTCCAAGGCTTCTCATGGCCCACCAGATCACCTTTTATGGAACACAATCAAACACCTTCTCCAGATCCACAAAGGCAAAGAAGAGAGGTTTCACAGCAGCAATGAATGAAAATTGCGTCAGTGGTACCTCTCCTTGGCACAAAACCAGACTGCATTTCATCGATGTTGACCATTTGTCTGATGTCAAGCACACATTCCAGCAGTTTCATCAATGAGCTTGAGGCCTCTGTCTAAGGTGTCATTCTTGCCCTTGTAAAGGTTGAGAATGAAGCTTTCCTCCTACTCACTTGGGATCATACCACTACTAAAAACTGATTCCATAAGTAACCTACGCATTTCAATGTCTTTTATCACCAAATGCTTTCAGCAACGACACCAGATGAACCAGCTGCCTTTCTATACTTCATCTTTTTGACCACTTTGTCAGTCAGTACTGATGTTACAAATGGAAATGAAGGGAGGACCTGCAACTAGTACAAGGGTTGGCAATTTTGACCGGCCTGCGAGCCTGATTACCAATGACTATTTTATTTTAATTTTTTGAATTCAACAAAAGGCCTGCTGTTATCTTCCTCTGATCCACCCAACAGAATTTGAATACTATGACCGCAAAAACACGATCAAAACCCAATCACCTCCATTTCAGCATAAAAAAATAAAAATAAAAATAAAAAAATAAACATAAAACAAAAACTGAGAGCAGATTTGACCAACCGACCGACCGGCGACAGCTTCAAAGGGACAATGTTGTCTCAGTCGGCTTTCTATCCCATTCCTCCAACAGTGACCCCCCCCATTGCTTACCCCTGCCACCTACCCTATGTAAGTTGCTGGAATCTTTCAATGAGCCATGTTCTTATCTTATCATACCCCTCTTCTTCAAAAAAACAAAAGTCTTTCACTGATCTTTTTGCATGCGGCCTGGCTCAACACAGGCCAAAATGTCACACTTTTTAAAGCTTAATTACTCTGCAAATAAACTGAATAAAATTAGAAATGTTTTAAATACCAAAATAAAATTCAAATGAATGTAATCAGTGCTCATCGTATTTACTTATTCAAAAAGAAATAAATTCAGTGTCATTTACTCACTTCCCTAGCAGCGACTGTTGTCGTCCAGAAAGACATGCATTGGTTGGCTTACAACTTTAGCATTCATTATGGATATAGTGACTCATTTGAATCATTTAAATTTACTACTTCAAGGTAAAACTCAGCTCATAAATGAGATGTATAATTATATAATATAAATATTGTTGCCTTTGAAAAAAACTTGTGTTGTGGGAACATCAACTTAGAAATAAAAATTATGCTCATTTCCCATCATTCCAAGCAAGGAAACTACAGGATTCGGAGCTATTTGTGAATGTTATCCAGGATTTGCAAAACGAATTTGTATCATGTTTTGCTGACTTTTGTCTGCATAAAAATGATTTCAAATTGTTTGCTACACCATTTGATGTGGAGGTGGAAACAGTATCAGAATGTTTTCAAATGGAATTGATAGAAATGCAGTGTGACGATCTATTAAGATCAAAATTTAATTCCAAAGATATTTCATTAATTGATTTTTACACAAAATATATTTTTTCAAGTGGAAAGTATTTCAAATTAGTGACCCACGCAAAAAAGATGGCATCTTTGTTTGGAAGTACTTATCAATGTGAACAACTTTTTTCAAAATTGAAGCAAACTAAGAACAATTTGAGAACAAGATTGACTGATAACCATCTTGATATATTGCTCTTAGCATCAACAAGTTTGAAACCAAATATTCAGACACTCTCAATTAATAAAAATCACCAAGTTTGCCATTAATTCTTTGGTTGTTGGTGATAGCTTAACACCAATGATATGTATTTATAAACAAATGACTCCAACAATGTTTTCAATTGAATAAATAATATTTTTTGACTACTATATTCATCTGTTGTTAATATAAATTATTTTTATGTATATTCAACACATGTGATTAAATGTGAATATGCAGATCTGTCAACATTTCTCAATTTAACTATATCATCGACCTTCAAATGAAATTTGTTATATGTCATTTTTCATAGAATGTCTACACATCTCGGTGCCCTAAAAATATTAGACTATCTGCCAGTTATCTTTCATGAGACTTATTTTACCAAGTTGCGTTGCCTATGTTTAATGTCAAATAATGGATACATATTTGTTATGACCCTTGGCTACATTAAAAGATAACAGAAGCGAAAGGAACGATAAAGTGAAAGAGGCCAGGGAGGGACTGACAACGCGAGGTAGCAGAAATCTAAAGACAGTTAAACATATGCGCATTATACATACATACCTCATGAATGTATGAATGATACCGCATGTGTACGTATGTAAGTGTATATGTTTGCAACTATTTGTACTCGTATGTATGGGTATATGTGCTTCGTTTTTGTTTGATGTGTGTGTGTGTGTGTGTGTGTGTGTGGTTCATTTGTGGAACAATTTTCAATAACAGTTTCAAACCTACACGTCATAATTTCATCCATTCACTTCGGTTGATTTTTTTCACTTTGAAGTATTTTGACGTTCCTTGAGGAAAAGTAATTTTTGTTACGTGTTTTTTAATTTTATATTTTCTTTTGTTTTTCTGATTTCTCAATGTTTATTTTCATTATGGTTTTAAATATTTAGGTTGACAGGGGTCTGCATATGTAATTTTCCTTAATGGCCTTTGTCCGGCCCGTGACCAGTCATTATAACATGATCTGGCCCGCGGGGTCAAATGAGTTGCCAACCCCTGAATTAGTACAACATTAAGGAGCATATCATTAGGCCAGTCCAACTCAACATTTAGCAACCTGTTATAATGTTCAACCTAAGCTTTCATCTTTTGGTCATTGCCGAGTGATAGTTCTCCAGCATCATTAGTAATGAAACATTTTTATTTTGATGAGAACAAATATACTTTTTGGTTCAGGCAAGTATCTAAGAATCTTAAATGGAGCAGCTCCCTTCTTTATTAAGGAATCTGTAATCTATTAATACCCATGATATTCCCATTATTTAAGGATAGCAATTTTAGTATGCAGTTTATGGTCTAGAATTTGATTGAAGATATACTACATCATTGAGAGAAGAATTATCAATGTAAAAGATTATGGGCACAATTTTAGCTCCATCTTCCAAACCAAGAATTTCAAGTATAGGTTTTTTTGTAGAAAGTAGTTGCTTCTGCAAGGCCAACAATAACTAATGTTTCCGCAGGTAAAGTTCTTTTGACAACTTATACATTAAAACTGCTATTTGCCATTATTACTAACCAAAAATAATCAATATTCTCCTTTCAATCATCCATCCCATAGGTTAGTAAATAAAGCAATACTTTACTTTTTTAATGTTACCCAAAAACAGGACTATCTGAAATTTTTCCCTTAGTTTTAATAGCTTTATTGACTTGCTTAATGGAGTTCATTTTTCCTGCTTCATACTGAACTTAGTTCAAATATATTTCAAATTTGGTTTAGTCCCCATCCTGAAATTATATTCAAAGTTTAATAAAAAAAAAGAATTTACCCTGATCCATAGCAACATTCATCCTAAATTTGCTTCTTCCTATTGCTTTGCCTGGCTTTCTTATAACATTTGTTTTCCTCTATTTTTTATTAGAGAACTTGCAAGTTATTACTTGTCCAGGTTTAGGAAGCTCAATCACTTTCATGGGAATTGATACTTTAGATAGTTTAGTCTTAGGTTTATCTGCTGCTGCTCATGGGTCCACCTCACTACATTTGCATTATCAAGTCCAACATCACCTTTTAGCTTACAGTTCATTGCTTCTCCACTTGTTTGTTGAAGACTCATACTAGTTGGCACTGTATAAGTAACATGAAACTTACTTGATGAATACAAGATCACTGTCATAATCTGATGTATCTCCATGTATACCAGGGTATATCAATAGATGGGAAGGATGCAGGTTTATGAATGTAGTTCTGTGTTTGACAAGTATTTTGTTTATATACTTTACCAATTACAGTGTTGGGACACATTCTCTAATCACATTCATTTCTCTTGTACAATACAATACATCCTGTATTCTAAAGTTTTGATAGGTTTAGTCTTACTTGGTGTAGAACACTTTTCTAGTTGAATGCATTAGTAGACAAACTCCAGTACAGGAAGTTGATTATTTAGAACTAATTATTTGTTGCTATACTCATTATCATTGTGAAGACTGTCTTAGCCTTCACAATCTCTGTTAACATCACATTGAAGTTACAATTTGCAACTCCAATATTTTTCTTCACCATTTCCTTCAAGTCTTCCATTGAACCCATTGCTTCATAGACTTTAAGATGCTGTAGTCCGAACAAATCTACAAAGCTTTCTCTTTTTAATCTGAATTGCTGAAACTATTTTCAGTGGAAGTGAAACAGGAATAGTTTCTCATGATCTTTTTAAGTTGTTTTGGCACTCTAAGAAGATTTAGCTCATTCACTGTCTCTTTAGTCTTTCGTTTTTTGTGATAAGTTAGCACTTTTCAAAGCTCTATGCGAATACATGTTCAAGTAATGTTGCAATTCCTCAATTTAGCCACAAAGGTATTCTTTAAACAAAGTGTCTAATTATAAAAGTTTTTAATCAAGATTGTTTAAATTAATCTAACAGTTTCATGAACTTCACCTTATCAAGTGAGAAAAAAACTTTTCTTTGCTTCAACATTTATAGCTATTTCCCACAATTCTTCTTTCTCCATGTTTTATAGGTGTGTTCAGCTGAAGTGGTGCCAAATATTTTGAAGCCATATTTTTAAAATTACGTCATGAAAACAAAAAGTAAAAGAAAAAGTTTACTTAACTTGACCAGGAGCAAAAAGTAAAAGTTTGTCTTTTTTTTTCTTTAAATTATTTTTTTTTTCAAAGTCATGAAAAAAAATAAAAAAAAAGGAAGGTATATTTCCTTATAAAGATGACAGGCCATAGATTCCAGACCCAGTTAGTATACATGGTAATTGAGCAGTGATAATGGAAGATTCTGCTTTTATATGTCTACTGGGACCAAGAGCAGACAATCAAACATTTTTTGGTCATGAACTATAATTTATCTTAACAGAATGGCAGTAACTAATTTATAAAAATTAAGAGGATTTCAGCAAACCTATATATATATATATTTTTTTTTCGAACCAAAGACAGATTTAGATTTAGAATCAAAAAAATAATTTTATATAAAGATAAAAAAAATGAAAAAGTTATTTCTTACTGGCTAAGCACAAAATTCGATCTCCACAAATGAGGGTTTGCTGCACAGGCCCAGGTAAAGTGTGTATTACCAAGGGTAGTAAATAACGCTTATTAGTTTCTATTAATTCCCAAATATAAACATTGCCATCATCATCACCAGTGACAACCTACAATGATAAACAAAAAAACACCGATCTTGTGATTGTTACATTTACATTTGTAGCAGCAAAATTTGTATTTATTAGAAATTAAAAAGATATGTAGGGATGACTACATTGCAGGTATTTTTTTTTAATTTTGAAAAAATAGAATTAAATTATACACAACAAATTAGAGGTTAAAAATAAATAAAAATAGCAGTAAAAATATATGTGAGTATTTTAAATAAAATGAAAGCAACCATTCTTCAACATTACAATCATAATAGTAATCAAATATTTTATCTGTTATGATTATGTATCTGATTTTCTGTAGCAAGTTGTTTACATCATACTGACATGAGAAATTCATAACAAATTCTGTTCAACCTATATGAATTGATAAAAAGAAAGAAATTTTCTTATTTCTTTCTTCCAATTAATCATCTGTAAATGAGGTAACTAAATTCAAGAGGGCGAATTGGGTAAAGAGAAGTAACTTGAGCTACTTTGAATTACTTGCATAATTTCCAATAATCTCTCTACAGTTATGCTTCAATGAAATGAATAGTGGCAGAATATGATTCCGCTTCCAGGTAGAAAAAAGTAAACCAGAGTAATATGTTCTTTTGGTTTTTTTATTTTAATTTTTTTTTTTTAAACCAACTCAATCATACTCAACTGTCGGTATTCAATTCTAGCAAATATAAACTATTTGATATTTCTAACTAGTAAACTTTACACGACTTCTCCCAGAATTAATCCCATTCTACAAATTCTTTGAATATGGTTTCATCTTAATATTTTCCATTTTAGAAACAGCAAATAAAATTATATTACAATGAACAAATCTGAAAATAAAAAATGAATAAGAAATTTGATTTTGAAATCACTTTATTATAGGAGACAAATGAGCTGTGATTGAATGTGGCAAAAAAAACCTTTGCTTCCCTTTTAATAGTAAATAGTACACCTTACTAATTTAAAGCAATATTAAATTATAGCATCTTTTCCTTAAAACCAATATTTATTTGTAATTCCACAATGAAAGATTTATTATAAGTTTCTTTACTTCATGTGAAGAAATCCCTGATCCCTTTTAAATATAATGGAGAAGTGGACTCAAATGTTTAAGGTATGTATTTGAACAACCAGTAGTGAACCCCAGATGGTAACATCAAGTACATACAAGGTCTGATCAAAAAGTATCAGGACTGTAGCTATGGTAACAGAGCTAAAGTATGCAGAGTGAAGCCACTTGGCACAGATTGACCTTGAACTGCCATGTATACACACTAAGTTATAACATTCTCACTCATTTCTCAGTGCTTGAAAGGAAAATGTGTAGAGTGGTTGTCTCACCACACCAAAGATTCCATCAGGGACCATGGCTTGTGCAGCATATCTTGGTCAAGTACAACATTCCCCAGGTCTGACCAACCACCATATTTCCCAGATCGTGCCCCTTGCAACTTTTTCCTCTTTTCAAAAATCAAGTCTCACTTGAAATGAACAAGATTTCAAGACATCAAGGAAATCCAAGAGAATGAAATAAGGCAGCTGCACTCTATCTCAAAAAAGAAGTTCCAAAAATGCTTCCATCAAGGGAAACGTTGCTGGATAAAATGTGTGCTTTCAGGAGGCTACTTCATAAAGAATAAAGATACTCAAAAGGCTATGAATGTTATCAAGCATAAAAGAAAGACTTTCCTTCAATATCATTTCAGGAACTGAAATTAAAAATTATAGTTCTCTGCAAGTATCCACAAAAACTAACACACTGGAGAATATAAGAAAAAAAAAACTTACCTTATTGCCCCATATTGCTGTACTTCGTACATATGAACAACTGTGTCCAAGTAAATGGTGACACCTTTCCCATTTCAAGTTGCTGGATAGATGAAAGACCCACTGACCACAGAGAATGGTATCATGACTTCCAGTCACAAAATACTGACCCCAAGAACTAATATAGGGAAAAAGAAAAACAGATAGCTTTAAATTCAACTAAAAATAATTTTATAGAAAATTCATTTAAATTTTCTATTCTACAGTATATGTGTGCTTATTTGCTAAGATTCTTTGACTATATATATATATATAGCTTTGTTTTTCTGTTTTCTATGGCACAATGCTTTAATCTAAAATAAATTGGCTCATGTGTAGACATTAATATTTACACAAATATTTTTTTAATGAACAGTTTGTGAAACATTAGATTTGTAGTAGACAAAAAAAAAATTAAAAATCTTCATGCGGGATTAAATCTCACTTCTACCATTTTTAATTCCTTTACTCATTACCAAAACAATTTTACAGAGACTATTTAGAAACTTAACTCAAATATTAACTGAGGCAAAGGAACAAGATAAAAAGCATGAATTGTGTTTCTTTTTAGAAAAATCATTAAGAATTAAACATTTTAATTATTATTGACAAATAGGCATTAGATAAAATGTTTAATCTTTCTTTCCAAAAAAAAAAAGTGTCAAAAAGGACAGTTATTCCCTTAACACCACTATTACTGTATACACTGTTGACTCCTTTGGCAATATTTATTGTTTTAAAAAGTGATGGTTAGAATTTTAATAAAACACAAACATATAAAAGTGGATTTATACATTTTATTTATTCTTGAGAACTGACAAAGATATTAAACATTATTTATTAGATTGCTTATTTACAAGAATAATTTTACAAGATTATAAACATATGGGAACTATAATGAAATATTTATTATTTACCATCCTATATAGATATATATGTATATGAAATGAAATTTTTTTGTTCATAAATTTATAAAAATGTCTAAACAAGAAAATTTAAATACACACAAAACAACAAGTAACTGTAATTATAAATTTTGAAAGAAAAAAGTATTTTCTGGGTATTTCTTTCATTTGCTTTCAATACATTAATTCCCTAAAATAGGTTAAGAGTATTTGTTCCTCTGAACCAAACATTCTTTTAATTTATGTTTGTCATGTTTATTCAAATTTTCTTGTTCCATAGTTATTTATAAAATAGTAAATAATAAATATTGCATTGTAGTTTATTTACATACTTTGATAATATTATAATTTTTTATAAATTTTTTAATAAAAACATTTTTCAAATTCATTTCTTTATAAGATGGTAAATTATAAATATCACATTGTACTTGGTTCATATATTTTTATATTCTTGTAAATAAACGTTGCTGAGGGAATCAAAAGTGCATACAGTAATACCAGTGTCAAGGAAATAACTGTCCTTTTTGGCACACTGTTTCTTTGCAAGCATGAAAGTTAAACATTGCCAAAAAAATTTACTGTGCTGTATTTATTATTTGTGCTCTGTAAAATATCAAGTTTTGCTTCTTATAATTATATTTTAATATATTAATTGCATATTAATGTAATTTTTCCTATGGGTGGTACATTATTAACCCAATCATCTATAATTTATTTCCATTGTTAATTCAGAAATCATTTTTGATAAATCATTTCAATTTGATTTTCAACATTTACCATTAAAAATCTCTTCTCATTTAAGCCCAGACATTTTTACTATAGAACAGACTTCAAAATAAAGAACTCAATGTGGCCTATTATCATCCCTTCAAATAAAAACATTACAAATTAGTGTAGAAAGTAGAATCAGAGCAGAAGTAATAGATTAGATGTTAGTAACAAGTAAAAATTTTTTCTTTTGTCCTTACCTAATGGATGTGATAGCGGTAGAATGATTATAACATGCTGATTTTAAAGGTTTGAACTCATATGTTGTGAAACGAAGATCCCGATCCTCTGATCCAGAAATCACTGTAAAAACAGGACTTTTGCCATTTTTCAGGTTAGCTGTAAAAATAAAAAATAAAATAAAAAAGTAACAAACGAAAGTATAAATTGCTTAGAATATAAAGGATCGGAAAAATATCATTAGAAAAAGAAAAAAAAGAGTATTTTTGAGATCATATGAAAAAAAAATTCAACATATTACCGACCTTTAAAGCAATTATCTTTTTAGTGTGTCAGTTCCCTTGGGGGTGGTTACACCTGGCTTATTATTCCTCAGTAACATTTTAAAGTATTGAGCTTTTCATTTTGCCCAACACTATTTTTAAAACATTTATTCACAATCATTTGCTTCTACCTTTTATTAAATCAGCTGATAAGCATCAAAATAGAAAATCCTTCAGAATCACTATGATATGAAGGAGATGAACCTAATTATCAAAAAGATGCAAAGAACATTTGCAATCAAAGATTTTCCCAGTCAAAAACCATTCAATAAATTTAGAGAACATTAACTAGAGTAATTCATTTATTTCTTTTTTCTACATATGTGTGAATGTACATGTGATACACTGTCTTCATCAGCTGCCAACCAGGGGGAGATAACACAGTTTTGATAGCTAAGGTGATACTGCCACCCCTAGCACCAACAGCAGCTTTTGCCACTGGACAGGGTATTGTTTTTCATTGTAGACATGTCAGTCTCTGCAATTTTTATGCAACTGCAAGTCAGATTTTCCAATGTGTTCAATAAAAGCATTTGCTCTTGATCATTAAACAAAACACAATGATAATGACTGTTATCAGTGATTTACAGTGGGAGATCAGATAAGCCTCATTTAAATACACTAATTTCATTCAAACAGCATCAAACCAATTCCTCCCACACAATCAAATGACATTAATAGATTTAATTTTTCTCTGGCTTTTTTCTTTTGTATATAAATAGTATAGTGTGTGATTAATTATTAAGTAGGTGCTAAAACAAAAATATTAGGTTGAGTCATAAGTAATTTCTGTTTCTGGGAACCAATAGTAATGACTAATGTATCATCCCAACTACTAATCATATGTACCAGTTAAGAATGAATTTGGAGTACACTAACATGACAATGTTCAATGCAAAAGGCAAGGATAAATTTCCATGGCTGAGCCCAAAAGCTGAGATCCACAGAAGGAAAATAATAGTGTGTGTGTGTGTGTGTGGAGAGATCTTTGGGGTATTATTCATTTGGGATTCTTAAAATGCAATGAAATAAGAAATGCATATTAATACATCTAGCAGCTGCAACAGATCCATAACAATTTAGCCAAAAAGTGTCCTACACTTGTCAATAAGGAAAATGGTGTCCTTCTCCATGAAAAAGCAAGGCTGCATACAGCAAGAATGGCACAGTAAAAATTTTGGAACTCAGTTGGCCTGTTCTAGTCTGTAGAGTAGGACAGATAGCCATATCATACGGAGGGATATCCATAAGAACAACACCGGTAACCCAGCCATGTGCAAGATGTGACATGCATGTGAACAACACAAATATAAACAAGGTTAGCAGGAACCATGTGGAGTGAACAGATTGTAACCATCACTCAAATACTCTACATGGCATTGCCGATAGGATCTTTTTTTTTTTTTAAAATAATAGCAACATTCAAATTGAAGATTTTAAATATAGATATGAAACAAGCTATGGACCAAAAATATTTGCAGCTTATGCAACAACTTATTAAACTACAAAAGGAAAACATCGCACTACATAAGGAAAGACTTTGTGGCCAGCCAAACACATCTTGTGTCAGAAAACCAGGACAACCTACAATAGTGCCAGACACAACAGACGGCAACTGGGCGATGTTTATTCACACATTGACCTGTTATAAAGAAACAATGGACAAGTTGACCGCTTATCTCCACAGCATTATACACCCTGTTATGTTATCCAAATTGTAAAAGTCAAACAGCGAGTGACAGTCCCAGAAAGTCAAGACCTTCCCAACCCCACAATATGCCAAGCCCTGTAGAGGGTGTGGAAGGACTTCACATCCCAATGAATTGGAAGGGCTGCCCAGCAGCAAAGTTGGCATGTTCTAATTGTGGATTAATCGGGTACATAGAGTGGGTGTGTCAGAGACTCGAAAAGGGGTCTGCCAACAGATCGACAATGAACATGACAAAACAAGAATCTCATGTTTTCACCACCAAAAGGCAAATGATCCCAGCAGTAAACAAAGGGGTAAAGTCACCCTGGTACAAACAAAAGGCCATGCCTCACCTCATTTGGAACAGAAGCAAGTTCCAAGGGAGGCCACCATCCTTGACAATAGAAGTAACCATGATTCCAGAAGCCCATGCTGAATTCAGGTATACCTCCATGGGATCAACTAGCCTTCACACCTACCAAATCACCATGGTAGCTGACACTGTGTCAACACCGGTAATCCACAAAAATTGACTAACACGGCCACATGCAAGACATGGCATGTGTGTGAACAATGCAAATATAAACAAGGTTAGTGGGAATAATCGGGAAGTGGACAGATTGCAACCATCACTCAAGCACTCTACATAGTCCACCTGCCATATTCAACTGATCATGCACTAACTGATTATTGAAGTATTCCATGTCAAATCAACAAGTGTCTGACCATCACTGATATGGATTTTTTCTTTTTCCAAATTTGGTACATTTACAGAGCTTCATGATACAAATTGAATGATGCCTGTTTTGCATCTTTAGGGCAAATGGTCCCAGAGATATGACCTTTTGACTTTTGCCAGAAAGGTGAATTTGGAAAATAGTCACAAAGCTTAAATATCAATATCTCAGTTATTTTCACCTACAAAGCTAAATTACAGACATCCCTCAATTAATGCACATTTGATTAATTTATTTTCAATTCAGTCAGTTATGTGCCATGCATGATACATGCTTAGGCAATCATGTATCTTGATACATGAATAACAAGGCAGATTTTTTCCCGCGGTATGGTCAAGTTATATATCTTTAAAAAGCTCTTTGAATGCTGATTAATATTTACATAAGAACTATGGTCATAAAATCAACAGGGTTTGTGTTATTTGCGGTCAAATGTTGACCAATTTGATGGAAAATAAACAACCTTATTTTTGGTTATGCCTACAATTTTATTATACACGAATATTTTGAGCATCTTCTGAGTTTTCATTAATAATTTTAATTGATTATTCTTTGAATGATTATTAAATTTACATCATTTTTTTTTAAAAACGAGAAAAAATTAGTTTGTTTAATTGCATCTGGTATAAAAATGCTGAAACATTAAAAAAATACTTTGAAAAATTCTATTAAAAAAAGAGTTAGTTTTCAGTTTCACCCCTAGAGGTAAAATGTCAGACTTTTTACAATTTAAAAAGTTAATCAATGTTTTCAAAAGGCTGAAACACTAATATTTTACATGCTGTTTCATTTGTTTTGAATGTCTGATGTTTTTTTTTTATAATTTATTAAATCTCACTGAGATTGCTATCACAAGAAAAATAAATTTATTTAAAATTATAATCTTTTTTACAAGAGTTTTCACTAGTCTTGCATGTGTTCATAGAATATGTGATTTCAGGGCAGAATATGTCACAAAGTTACTGTTATGAAATACTTCTCATTAGATGTAAAATAATATTTTTCTTTTTTGTGAAATAAATGGATGTATCAACAAGACTTTTATTAGACAAAATAGGCTGTAACCCTTTTAAAACACATTAAAAAAAGATTAAGAGAACATCAAAAGAATTTGCTGGTAAAAATCAAACAAGTTAAACTGATCCCTGGTAAAAAAAAAAATTGCAGTTGTCATAAAATCAACAGCATTACCCAAGTTTTCTCAAAGTACTTCAATATCAACTGGTCTTTTAGCATTTTGTAGATACTGAAAATGATTTGCAACTTCTTAACAAGTCACTGTGAATGATTGGTGAATCACCAATCAAGCATCAAAAACTTGTAAAACAAACCATTTATGAGAAAAGAAAAATAGGAAAAATTAAAGGCGCTGTTCAAGAAAATTAAACTAAATTCAACTAAAATTTCTCATTAAGAAGTATTCTAATAGTGTAAAAGAGTGCCAAACTTCTGATGAAGTTAAATTTTTCACAATTAAAAGAAATGTTTGCAGCTAGTGAAAAGAGATCCCAAAAAGTACAAATTTTGACAATACTTCCAAAAAGCTGGAGTATCCAAAAAATTCAAATTGAATTTGTCATTACAACATACATGGCAAGACAAACCAAAAAACTTATAAATGAACAAGGAATCTTAACTCTACCAAATACACAAAAATGTAGATCCCACAAGAGAAAAACTGATGAAGTTGTGCTATAAGACTGAATAAGTTAGCAGAGTGATTCCTGAAAACAAAAAACAAACACACAGTCTTAAAATGGTAGAAGAGTTCAGGAACAAAAATATCTTGTACTCTGTAACCCAAAGGAGGTATACCAATTATTTAAATCAAAGAATCCAAACAGAATTAGTTTTGAAAAATTTGCTGATCTCACACCAAAAAAATGTATACTAGCTGGTAGTGCTGGGATACACCGTGTCTGCATTTTAAACTGATTAGGGGGGGGTGTCACCTTGGTACACTGACACAAGATGAACAATATCATCTACCACCAGTACATAGTTTCTGTTACATGCAATGAAGCAACATCAAATTTCTTGGGTGACTGCTCAATTTATAGCAATCTGATGGAAGATTTTGTTTTATATATAGAAGAAATTCTAAATAAAATTTAATAGCTGATTTGATATACAAACAGTGGCTATCAACTGATAGAACCACACTGCAAACTGTATTGCAATCTACAGATGAATTTATCGAAAATTTTTGTGCAGGCCTTCAAACCCTGAAGCAGCATAATTTCATTGCCAAAGAACAGTCAAAATTATGTTTTAAGAAAAGATCCTTGATGGATGGTGAAATTATGGTTATTGCAGATTTTGCTGAGAATTATTCATTTATTTTGCAGAATGGTACATAAGGCTTCCACTGGAATAATAAACCATATTACATACATTTGTCTGTTACTACAGAAATGACAGAGCTGAAGCATTTTAATTTTGTAATTATATCAGATTGTCTCAAGTAAGACACAGTAGATATCCACTTGTTCCAAAAAAAGCTTATAGAAATACTGGAGAAAAAAAAACAACAAACTTTAAAAGCTGATCTATTTTTCTGATTATGCTGCTTCATGTAAAAATCGTATTAATTTGTGCAACCATAAAGCTGACACAAAGTGGTACTTTTTTTGCTACATTTCATGAGAAAGGACTATGTGATTGGTTAGGTGGCACTGTTTAGAGAGTAGCAGTGAAAGCAAGCCTGCAGCGACCCTATAATGACATTCAGGCATAAATATTTTATATTCCTCAACAAACAAATGGAAAATGAATCCAAAATCTTAGAAGATAGATTAAAAAAATGCCTCAACAATTACAGGAACTCAAAAACTACAATTCATGTGTCTCAAGAATAGGTAGAAGTAAAAACTCAGGATGAAAGAAAAATAGTTAAATTTATAAAATAGAACAATATAGAATTGGAAAACATTAAGTGATTTGCTACAGCAATCTATGATAGGAATTGGTGATTTGGATGTGTGCGGGAAAAATATCCTTATAATGAAGAGGTAAAATTGATATTTTTGGAAACAAAGGGCCTGTCCCCATCTTAATTTTGAAATATTTTGATATTCTTCATTTAGTTGATCCAATAACTGATACTGAAAGAACATATAAATTTTTGAAAATTAAAATGGAAAAGCTTTAAATATTTTAGGAAAGAAAAATTTTCTAAATTTTCTACCTAAACATGTATTCCAACAATCAGGAAAATAAGTTAATCTCTTTGTAAATGTTAAGAATCTTTTTTTAAACATTCATTTCAATGTGTCATTTTTTCAGATCAAAACTGTATACATAAAAAAAAATATAAACAAAAACTAAAAATTTTGCTTGTTTTGTGCATTTAGTATACAATGTCAAAGGTTAACAAAAATTTCTTAACCATTGACATCATTTGTTGCATAATTCATATTATTTTATGTAATCTTAACATTAATTCATGACACTTTTTTTAAATAATTATTTTCATTATGTCACTTTTTCATATAAAAATTTCTTGGATAATAAAAATTTAAATAAAACCAAGAAAGGTTGTTTATTTACCACCAAATTGGTCAAATATTAATCATAAATAACACAAATTCTATTAATTTTATGACCATTGATCAATATTCAAAGAGCTTTCTAAAGATATAAAACTTGACCATATTGGGTGATATGAAAATGTTAGCATATAGTAGCATATGCCAAAATCTGCCATTTTGAATTTGGCCCAACTCAGTAAAACCCTTTGAGCCCAGGCCACAGTCAAAAGTCTAGCACAAAATTTTATACAAGATATTGCCATAAGGTAGACAAATTTGTCAAATTTTAAGAAAAATATTAAAGATATTGGCCTTTCACATACCCCCAGAGGAAGAAGTCCCATGGCACGTGGTATGGAGACCTAGGTGGCCATTGCAAGAACACATGATCAGTCTGTCCAGAATGCCTAACCCATCTGTCAGGCAGAGTGGTGTTCAACAATTAAATTTTATTATCAGAAGAAAACTTGACACTTTTAGCTTTTAAAATGGTACTAGTTCAATCATGGTACCATTTGTAGTTCATGATATAAAAGTTCTTAGAATGTGACAGACTATTGAATAGAGATGTGCAGTTTAACAGAAAAACTGACTTTTTCAGTTTCATCTTCACACCGTGAAACCAAATCGAAATATTTTATGAAACTGAATGATTTTGGTTTTATTTTTTATCACTACTGAGTGACCATATCCAAAGAAACATTATTGAAAAAGACTTTCAGGTGTTAATAAAATTAAATTTTATCAACACTTATACCATTGTAAGAGAAAAAGATTGAACAAAAATGTTAAAAACATTTAATTGACTAGTTTTAAGAAATAAATGTGAAATCTATTTGTTTACAAAAGAAGTGAAGAAGAAAAAAAAGGAAATACAACCTGTCTGAAATCTATTTGTTTGTATTCAAAAATAAAACGAAGCAAAAATAAAAAAAACTTTTTGCAGAAAAATTAAGTTAGCAACAAAATAGTGAGTAAAAATTTAAAAAAAATAGTTGCCATGTCTTAAAAAATTAAAAAAAAATAGTTGCTGTGTCTTAATGTTAAATTTTATGAAGTCGGATTTTTTGTAATGGTTTTCTCGCAAGCCATTTACGCCAATCACAAAATAAAGTTGTTGTAAACAAGAAAAATGAATGAAGATTATTTTTTTTTTTATAAATAAATTTGTCTTTTTATCTAGGGAATGCACCTAAATTAGATATTAAGAATAATTAAAATAGCTCTTAATTTCACTTTTAAAATGAAAAGTGAAATTTATCGCTATTTTAATTACAATTATTATAATTGCATATTTCCAGGTATGCAAGTCTGTTTTCTACAAATAAAATTATGTTTTTATCTAGCAAAATACACATAAAATGACATTATTAAAACTTACTTTATTTTTTTTAATAATCTCAGTTTTAAAATGTATATATTTTCAAAACTGAAATACATTTTTTTTAAACCCAAAGTAAAAATTATACTTTTAGCAACTAGTGTTCGGTGGGTGTTTGTTACTGTTCTGCCTATAAAATTCTTCTAAAACAAGGAAAATTAATTCATTTTATTTCTACAAATATCTTTATGGTTTTTATCTGGCAAATAATACACTTAAGATTATATTAAAATGATTAAAATAGTTTTTAATTTCAGTTTTAAAATGTGTATTTAAAAAAAGAACAGGTGATACTCGCAGATTTGGAAATCTACACATTCTAAAAATGAAATTAAAAGCTTTTAATTATTTTTAATATTTAATTTTAGGTGTATTTGCTAGATAAAAAACAAATTTATTTAGGGAAAAAATAACTCATTGATTTTCTTTGTTTAGAAGAAATTTATTTGCAAAACCCCAATAATAGTTGACTGGCATACCAGAAAAGAATAGCCGTTTTTTTTGGGTTTTTTTGCTTACTTTATAATTTTTGAAGGAATTCGCTTCCTCAGGTCAGAGGAGAAATGAACATCTTCCTGGTTGTAGTTCAAGTTGTCTTCTTATTGAGTGTACAATTTCAAGAATGTTCATAAAGATTGGTCACTTTGATTTTGTGAAACAAAGTAACATGTAAAAGTCTTGAAAAACAAAAAAAAAAATCTCATTTTCGGCTGGTCGAAGCAATACTGTTTTAACTTGCTGTAAAAAAATATAATTCAATGAATAAAAGCACATACAAATTACATATTTAGAAAGATTATTTTATTTTCATTCCAGCCATATGAATATTTTTAAGATTGGACCATAAATACATGAGATATTGCGAGTTGAACAGACTAAGTTGCAAATTTATCAATCTCAAACGAAATCTAATATCGAATGGAAATGCTATCATTACACAAGAAAATGAATGGTTTCCTTAGAAAGCAAAAATACTAAATTAAAAATCGAACAAACCAAATTGAAAACAGCAGTATCAAGGAAAACAAAACTGGAAACCAATACCAAAACATAAATTGCCAAACTGCCCAACTCTACTATTGAAACACCCTGTATAATTGAATAAAATGTAATTGTACCTTATTTCTTGAATAATAAAGCTGATAAACTAAAACAAAAATTAATTATTTATGACTCAAGCTAATAGTAAATAAAATTGGCAGACTATAAGCCTTTTCAAGTGCATAAAGGATACTTACATTTATCAACAACAGTCAAGGCTGTCACTGTGCTCCGATGCCTGTGCAGAGTTGTACATGTCTGTGTTTTAGTGCCTGCATTTGCCCAACACAGAACAGCTCCATTTTCATGCCCAGTCAACAACAGATTGCCTAGAAAATAAACAAGAGAAAATATCAAAGACTTGAGTTTTTAAAATAGGGATTACCTCGCTTTGTCTGCAAGGATTTCCACTAGTGTGTCATCCTATATAGGACTATTAAGGCACTTGACATAAATTCTATATTTTTCTTTCTGTTGAGATGTATCCGCAACAACACTAGGCTTGTTTCCACCAGAGGAGGTTTCTTTCATCAGATGACTGCTAAATTTCAACTGGGTTATGTGGTTCATTTTGCACATCACACACTACAGCTAAACTTATAACTTTTTCTTTTTTATGAGCTCTACCTATCTGTATATATGTGAATATAATTTTCTCATTCTCTTTTGTGAGCTATGTTGTTCTTTATAAAAATATATGCATAAAATTCTGTCACATATTGGAATTCATTTCTTTTGAAAGTGTTGAATTTATTTTACTTTGAAAGTTTTCCACCTCAGCTGTAACAAGTAGTAACTCATCCTGCTATAAACTGGTGAGCAACAGCAACCTCATTCATTAGAATTCTTTATTCAATGATCTGAAGAATCAAAAAATATTTCATTAAGCAGAGGACAAAACCTTCTACAGCAAACTCATTCTGGAATTTAATGAGTCAGTTACAGGTCAAATCAGTAGCTGAGATGATTGAGATTTGAATCAATAATTTCCTGAAAAAAGAGCATAGCACAATGAAAAAGGCCCAAAAATTGATAAAAACAAAGTTTTATCGTCAAAATATTCATGTTATTATTAAGAGGAAAGAACAAAGTATTTTTTAATTATTTAAAAAAAATTTTACTTCTTTCTAACACGTTTGAAATTTTTGTTAAAAATCTTGTTTTTTTTTTAATTTTTTTATACATCAGTGGTAGAACAGAACTGGTAATGGAAATTTTTGCACCTGTTATCTAATAAAATAACACATTCATTTAGAAAGTCTTTCAAAAGTTAAATAATTATTGGATTGAAACTTTCAGGACTTATTCACAAATGAATTAATTTATTTTTGAAATTACTATTTTTGGAAAATCTTGGTAAAATTTTTTTTTAAACATCTGTTACCCCCCTCCCACATACACATACCTAATTTCATGAAATTTCTAGAAATTAAATTCATCCTCCAAATTTGTTTTTTTTTAAGTTAAAAACAGGACTCCTTGCAGATTGTAAATCATTAATTTTTTTAAAACTTTTATCAGATTCTAAAATCTGCTCTAAATCATAAATATATAATTAAGGACATTATAGTCTGAAGAAGAAAAAAATATTTTGATGCATAATGAATTTTTACAAGAACTGTTTTCATTTTTTTTTTTATTTAATTATAATAATTTTTATAAAGTTTCAAAAATGTTTTAAAAATTCATCCAAATTTCATTCTTGTTAGGTTATTAAGTGAAGACTATATTTACTAAGTGAAAATTGAAAAGCTTAATACAAATCATCACCACAAGGATTTAAAGATTTTTTTTTTTGTGTGTATAAACGTGCCAATTTTGAAAGTATGGGTGACCATACACGACATTATCGGAAATGATAGTAAATTTAAAAGCAACATTTCTAAAATTAGATGATGCTTTTAATCACTAAAACTGAATGGTACTGAATTTCTAGTTTTCATAAAATTAGTTATGGCGCTTCTAATATAAAAAATATTTTTACCAGACTTTAAAAAAAAAGAAAACATAATAATTTCCATCATTTGTAAATAGTTTCTGAAAGTTTCATTAACATTCGACAATTATTTTTATTTTTGCAAGATTTTACAAATTAATGTGTCATATAAAAAAAAGTGCTAAAATTTTATTTAGTTCAGCTGATACAAAGAGAAACAAGTTTTTTTTTTGTTGTTTTTTTTTTAATCAAAAGTTAGAATGTTCTCTAAAAAGAAGGAAATTTTTTTTAAGATAATTAAAAAAAATACTTTGTTCTTTCCTCTTAATAATGACAAACATTTTTAGACGAAAAAATTCTGTCTTCGACAAGTTTGGCGTCATTTTCATCATGCTATGCTCTCTCTTTTTTAGCGATCTCATACAGAGAATGTTGAACTGGTAGGTGATTTCTGTGAGGTGAAAAAAGTAGACCCAGTTTTTTTCGTTGCAGTTAAACTGGCAATGCATTTGCTGTACAGCAGCAGCCGAGTGCCAAACTAGCTTAATTACACTACAGTTTTGTCTGCAAAGTTTGTGTGTGATCTCATCTCCTAGGACAAAAACAGACAGGTCGCACCGTCACTTAAACATTATCACTAAAAAATCAATTTGTTGGCTGGCTCAAAACACTGGCTATCTGCTGGTATGAATGAACGTATGTATTCAAATGTCATATGCCAGAGAACTAGTAGGTATGTTCTGCATAATATCAAACGAGTCTACATTTAAAAACATGCAGCCAAATTTTAGTTTTTAATACATATTTTCATTTTTACAATCCAAAACAGTATAGTCCTGTTTTAAGAGGATTCTAAAAAGATAGATTGACTCAAGTCAAGTTTGTTTAATAAATTTTCAAACTTATTATTTTGTATTTTTTTTTTTTACTGTATGCCACAAAAAGCCCTATCATCCATAAAAATCTGTGATGTTTTTTTTGTTGCTGTTGTTCAACAAATAACATCATTGAAGCAATGAAGATGAAAAGCAACCCCTCATGCAGAAAATGAATGCTTACATGCATTTCTAAACACTTTTGGAGGTACCTGGTACCACTAACCAAAATGGATACTTTTTTTTTTACCCTGAAATGAAAAAAAAAAAAAAAAATATCGCAAGCCCCATTTTAAAATATTTGCTAAAAATCAGTGAATTATCCGAAACAAATCGAATTTTCGGTACTTATGAATGAATTTAAATAAAACGTAATTTTTTAAATTTACAAAATCCAGTTAATTAATCCTTAAATTTATTTTAATTTAAAATAAATCATAAATGGTATATGCCTTCGAAACTATCTTTCGCTTGAGGATGAACAATGGATTAATTTGTTTGTTGTTTATTGTTTACATTTCTCGTCTATAATGGCGGTTCGATGAATCAATGAGTGGCGAGAAAACATACTTTTCACTTTACTAAAGTGACTTTAGTATGGAAATTTTAATTTTTCTTTTAATTCAGATTATCTTTCAAATAAAACTGAAATTTAAGTTAAATGCATTTATTATTCGAATGCAATTTTTAGGATTTTTTTAGGAAGCCCATGATAGTAGGTTAACTAACTTAAAGTTTAAGTTACTATGTTTCAAATTTCACTTTTTTAAAAATCTCTATAAATTGGTTACTATAATTTTTAAAGTAACACCAATTAGATCTGTGGATCGAATCTTCGCTTCACAGTGTGTGTTTCCAACCCTTAAAGATCAGCATATTTTTGTAAATGTTCTGATTAGAAAAGCACTGATATGGATACACACACTACTACACTCTGTCTCTGTTAGCAAACAAACACTAATAATCACTTTCCTGTTTTCTTCCCGTTGCAAAAATTAAAAACTCAGTATTATTGTTAAAAAAAAAACAAACTATCTTGTGTCTCTGTCTTCTATGATGAAACTAAAAAAATAACCTCAGCTACTCGTAAACACTAAAGATTAAAAAACTAAATACACAAGTTTATTGCCACAAGATTAAGAATTAAAAAGAATAACTAGAAATCTTCAATAATTAAAAACCATGGAAATAATGAGTTTAAGCAAAAAGTGCACGTTTTCACCATAGCAAAACATAAAAAATTTAATTAACAGTTAACAGTAAACACTAACAACATTAGTCAATGAGTACGTATCAGTGTGTTCATACAAGTGACCTTGTGCCAGACTAAGCTACATCATCACTTAAGTTATTGCACCAACATTCAATTACATGTGAGGCAAAAAAAATGCCACAACACAAAGCATTCGCTTATAAAATCCCTTTTCTTTTCATTCTTAAAACAAAGGTCATGAAGATTCTTACTTACTGACAGTAAGATTTAAGAAGAAAAAAAATGGCATTTCTCTTTTCAGTGTTCAAAATTTAATAAAATTTTCTCTGGTTTTTTAAACACTTCTAATTTCTAAACAAATAAATTGAAGATAAATAAAAACTATTCATAAAAAAAAAAAACAAAAAACGCATTTTAAAATAACTTTCGCAAAAATTGCGCAGTAATCAAGACGAGTAGGAAGAAAAAAAAAAAGCAGTAAGAATGGCCGTTAACTAAGTAAGCTTCCGCGCATTACCACTTGAGACAAACGTATGTAAACAACGCCAGTAATGGCAGTCGGATAACGCGAAAGAAATCGGACTTACATTGTCCATAAATTCTAAACGGTAATCGAGCGCAAACTTTTGTCATTTTCGAAATAATCAGGCAATTTCACACTAGTAGTTAACTTGTAGGGTCATCACTCACATCATAGCAGCAGAAATTAGCCTTGTATTCACGGTGATAAAAGCATACTTGACAGGAAATAAAACGTACAGAAATAATAAGAAAGGCATAGTAAATTGTGTGTTATTTTCATACAATTTATTTATATTTTTGTATGTAATTTTTAGGTTATGATTTGTTTTATGGTACATATTGTAATAAAAGGGGAAAAATTACTCTTATTTATTACAGTACACGCTATCACAAAGAGAAGTCGGACACATATTGCCCGTACATTATAAATTTAGCTTCTTTTGGCGGGATGTCCATATTTATTGCATGCTGGGAGTATTTTTATTATTTTTAAATTTTTATTTAATTTAAAAAGAGTTTAAATAATATTATTAAATTTTATTTTGCTCATAATTTTCATTATACCAACTAAGTACACATCAAAAACTTGTAATATTCATCTTCTGACTACCTACTTGCAGCCTCCTCTCTCTGATTATTGTTCTTTCAGTTTCAAGTAAATAAAAAATAAAATAAACACCAACAGAAATAGTAAATTAACAATAAGCATAATTTTTCTTTCTCGGCACCCCCAGGATTTCAAATATCAGAAATTATTGTTGAATGATTCTTCTAGTAATTTGGAAATATTCATTCATTGACCAAAAAAAATAAATAAATAAAAGATGACTGAGTGACTATTTGTAATTTAATAGCAGATAATAAACATTATTAATTAAATCGAATCTTAAGGACAAGATTTATTCATATTGAAGATATTTCTTTTTTAAATTTTTATATTTTATTTTTACTTGACTTACCGTGAAATTTGACACAGGTAGTTTTTCCATAATCCGGGTTCTGTGTAACAGAACGACGTAAACACGGCCAGTGGGAAATTAATCTGCTTCGACGATAGGCAAAGTAAACTTCTCGCCAAAATTGCCATGGAAGTCGAGAACTGATCACATTGGTCTGGTCTTCTTCAAATACAGATATTATATTTTCGTTTTTACTGCCAGTGAACTCACTACTGGTACTCGTTTTTCGGTTTTCGTATTGTTTTGATGAACTAAACCCAACGGCAAGCAGGTTGTTCACATCGACCAGCCCGGTCATTTCGGCTAATAATGGCATAGGTATTTCTGTTACGCAGAATGTAGACCACATGTTCATATTTCGTTTTAGTTCGTGTACAATTCGATGCCAAAACTTGCATACACGTGCCACCCGAAAGAGAGTATTACCGTCGAGCTTATTGAAAATTATACGAAGCACTTCCTCCGGTAAATCTGTTATCTCTGTCATGGTACCGTAAAAAAACTGTTTGAAACTTTGTGATACTAACAATAAAAAGTAAACTAAAAACCTAATGCTTTTTTAAAAAAAAATTATACTATGTTTCTATGTAACATTTTTTACCACCTCCACCATGGTCAGCTAATATAGAATATGCTATATTTTTTCCTCTCTGTTTTTCCTTTGTCGACGCACTCATCTCCTTTTCAGGTAGTAATGGAGAATTCTTGTTTATGTCAGATCAAATTTATCTCCCTTTAATTTCTTTTGAGTTTTAGTTGCTAAAAAATACAAGAGAAATTCGTTTCAGTATTCACAAGTTGTAATGATAATTTGTAGATACTTTCATAACTCCATAATACTATTCTTTATAAAATAATATTCTTAAATCCTGTTTTAGTTATTACACTCCAAAAAAATACTTGATTATTTTTCTTTTTTTAACATTTCAAATTTTTTTTTAAATTCATGCGTCACTGTGGTCATAAAAGGTCAGACTCAGAAGATACTTAATTTTGGTTAACTTTGCTGTTCTCAATTTATGTTAAACTAATTTGGTAACTAAATATAACCTGACATCAGCCATACCCATAAAATTTAATACACAACTTTAACTTAAATTTTAAACCCAATTTAGAATTCAATTCAAAGCCTACTTTGTTATGACCTTTAATTTAAAACTATAGAAATTTTAACTCCATACAAAAACCTAAATTTTTTGTACGAAGCAAAAAATTTAGTAAAGTTAAGGAAAGAGAACACGTGCCTCGCTTAAACTTTAAGTCTTGTTTAATACTCATCCACTACGTGAATCTTGAAAGAACAGACATTTTATTTATTACAGACACAAAAAAAAGAAAAAAGAAAACAAATGGAAACGAAAATTTCCTTTTGTGTGCCTTATACAAAAAATAAGATAGGATAACAATTCAAATAACAAAAGAGTATTATTACACCTTTTCAAAATTAAAAAGTATGAAAAAAACTGTTATTGTATATTTTTGTGGGTTCGGTTAAAAGAGATCGGGGAGAATGGGGATCAAGTGACAACAAGGTATAAAATGTGAATGTTGTTCTTAATAGTTCTTGTGATTTGATGTGAATTATTGAAGTTCATAACAGAATCCATTTGTACCTTCAGAGTCTTCAATGTAGAGCATTGTTTTGAGAACAGTACTTGTTCACCTTCATAGAAACGATTATTTTGTTACAATAGTCGGGGTGAAAATAAGACTTAATTCTGTCATGAAAACGACAATTTGGTAGTTTGGATGAAAGGATGAAGGTAATAAAATAATTACTGGAACTTGAATCTTGCCATGGTTCAGGTTTCAGTAATTATTTTATTATCTTCATCCTTTCTCCCAAACTACTGATAGCCAAATTCACTCAGAGTGAAAAAAAATAATTTTTAACAAAAGATAAAAACTTTGAGGAAGCAAAATTTAGACAAGGCATAAAATATAGAAGTGCACCCTATGGGACAGGAATGTCTTGGCATAAAGAGCTTTGGTAGTTAGAAAAGGTTAGTGTCATGAGGACTTCGCTGGAAGTCACTGAAATTAATTTTCTGTACAAGGACTTTAATTTGCCTTCCAGTTGTTATTTAGCTGTTGGCTCTTCTTTCTCACACCAGGATGATTTATGACCCCTTCAGTTGCACAATTCCTCTGACCTTGAAGTGTGGGTGCTTTAAAGTTTTCTCCTTGATGACTAAATGCTTTCTGATCCTATCAGTGGGTCAGTCCTCTTTTATGTGAAAAAAGCTGGCTCCAAAGCTCTTAAATGGGGTTTTTACTGTTGGAGTAGATGCTGCATTTGTAGTATCCGTTCCGTGCCAGAGACCTTCTCTCTTCCCTTGTATTTTCCCCACCCCTCTGCATGGACAGAATCCTCAGACTTGTTCTGTAATATCTGTTCCATAGCAGTAGTATAACTGGCCATGAATAGCTTAAACAAACTATGACCAGCAGCCTGAGTGGAAACACTCAGGTTGCTACGTTAAAAACCGACCTTGTGTCACAAACTAACTCAGTGGAGGGGGAGTTGGTAAAGCAAATCCCAGGCCCCCTCCCCCAGGCAGAAACTGTTGTAGTATCTGTTCAAGACTGGGCTAACCACCCGCATCCTGGACAGAATCCTCTGATCTGTTCCATAATGTGGGCTTGTCCTGAATGGGAATACTCTGGTTCTCCACATTAAAACAAACTGGCCTTGTGTCATATCCTGACTCAGCGGCAGAGTCAATGGTAAATACTGAGCAACACCAACCCAGTCTCATGTACAATCCTGTCATTATGACAGTATCGATGCTTCTCTGATCGAAAGGGTTGCCAGAAGGAAGTAGAAGTGAATTCCACCTTTACAGTGAAGCAGTCACTCCTTCCTGTTTTGTTTGTTTTGCAGACACTCCATTTCCTTCTCTTCTCAGCTTACCTTCTCTTTCAGGAAGATGCAGTAATACTGCTTTTCTTTTCTTTGCCATTGCTCCAGATTGGCGGGAAGTTGTCAAGCCACCCACCCCAACAAGAATTTGTTCTTGTTGTTTTATTAATTTATTCATTTACATTGTTTTTGCAAGTTAATCTTTTAACATTTGCTTGCAGAAAGACCTCTATGCTGGCTAATGCTATCATGTTGGTTACTTAGTAACCATGCCACATTTGGCACCCTTTTTTTTAATCGCCATATTGGATTCTAGTTAGCAACACAGCACTTTGATTTGGTTTCCTGCCAATTTCTAGATTTACTTAATGTTATGCCTTGTTCGGCATCTTCTTCATTTGGCACGCTGCCATCTTGGATTTTTACTTACCAGTCCCAACTCACTTCATTTAAGTGATTTCATTTGTACTTTTTTCTATGACCTGTGACTTGTCATTTACCAACACTATTAATTCCAATTCTCATTTCAACTACAAACTTTCCCTTTCTTCAAGAACTATATCAAACATCAACATTTCCAAAGACTTACTACTTGTATGCAGTTACTTTGCTTCAGGACTACTAAATTTACCATATTTGCACATCCATACACTTTGGAACTCTTATTCATTTTAATATTTCAGCACTTATCAGAAATCTCTTTCAGTTCTTACAAATCAGCAATTGCAAAAATGTTGATTGTTGTCAATAATAAATTGTTGGCCTTTAATTAAGAACTCTGCCTTTGTTTTATCTTAGTTTGGGTGTTGATTTCTTCCTTTATATTTTATTTACATGGTGACCCCTCTATGGGCTGCTACAAGTTGTGCAATTTATGGATTATGCAGCTGTAGCATTTTTATTGCATTAAAAGTACAGACATGTTGCACTATTTTTAGTTATAAGGGAATTTTAATGTTAAAGGTTTAAATGTAATTTTTAAAAGTACTGGAATTCTCTGATTCTGATATATGACAAGCCCAAAAGTAGCCACGGACTTGTTTGCTCACTAAATAAGCACTAAACAATAAGTGTAAAAAATATTATCTTTTTATATGCTTTATAAAAAAAATTGAAAAATAAACACAAATTAAGCTAGTAGTAACTTAAATAGTAAATATTATCTAATTTTATTATAATACTAATTTATTTAAAGTAAACTGATATTCTCACAAGCCCATCACTAAGGGCAGGTGAAGCATGATTCCCCTCCTCTCCTTTGTGAAAATAATGGTAACTAATTTTAGTATGCAAATTCTTGTTAGCGGTCACTATTACTTAAGCACCACCCTCAACTCCAATCATTGAGGAAGTAACAAGAGTACAATGGTTGAAACATTGTGGCAATAATCAAGATGGACACTAGTTTGAATCAATAAATCAATAATGATAATTCTTCATCAAAGAGAAATGCATTAAATTTTGTTTTAAAAAATGTAATATTCTTAGAGATTAAAGTAAGATTTAAGATTGAATTTTATTGCATTATGAAGCTTGTTAATGTTATGTTACTTGTAAGTTTTCAAAGCAATTTTGAAATCAATCCCATTGCTGCTCAAAAACTCATTTTACTAAAGAAAGACACGTTTGCTTGAAAAACCAAAAAATGTAAAGTTTAATGCCATTTTCGAGTGTGACTCTTTTTCTTTTTAAAAGAATTTTTTTGTAAATTAGATTATTTTTTTATATGGATGTTCAAAAAGGAAATAATTCTGAGTCATTTCCTTTGACTAATCTATCTGGGAAGACTAAGAGTAATATGATATATAAAAATTCAATAACCTTAAATTCAGAATAATTAAAAAGAAAAAGACAAAAAACAACTCATTGGGTCCAAATAAATATTTTAAGATTAACAAACAGAAAATAATTTAAAATAATAATTTAAAAAATAAGAGCAATCAATTAAACTCAAAAAAGTATCATTTCACTAATTTTTAATTAGTTTCTTTTTTATATTTCTAACGCAGTTTAAAAAATAAAATTATTAATTCTACTAAGTTTCATAAAAAGCATAGAGAATAAAAAACACATTCTTAAACTAGTGGTTATAAGGTTAAAGATTTATTTTTGAACATAAATACCGTCTTGATTACTGAACAACTAGTGTTCTGTATTTCTCTAATAATACATTATTT